TAATGTGCCTTGACTGACTGTTGCCTTTCAGGACTTGCACTCTGCCTGGCTTTCAAGGGATAAAACAGTAGGGTTAAATCAAGGGTCAGTAATGACTCTTGAAAGTCCATGTGGTAATAAAGTTCTTAGCACACTCATAGTGGTTGAAATTGCACAGCTAAATCATATGTATCTGGATGACTGCCTGATCTAAAGAAGGTGTTGTGAAGAAATAGAAAGGCACATTTGATCATATTCATTCTATGCTGGAGATACTGAAGAGCTGTCTTGCTGGACAGAATTTCTGTGAGCTGTAATTAATGTCTCATTGTCAAATGCTTATTTTCTGGAGAACAAGTTGCAAGTCTTTCAGGATTGTATGAAAATATACATGGGCACTAATGGATTATTACTCCTGTAAGGACATGCATGCATGGTACTCTTCACTGAAGGTTGCTGACCATTTTAGTGTTACTTTAAGCCACCGTGCTTTCCTTTGCACTTGTGCAGTATGCAAAGAACATGGTGATTTCCTATATTAAGTTTCTTTGCTGCAGCGTTTGGGTGGTGAAAGCTGTCTGAATGTGCTTGTAATACCTGATTTGCTTCACCAGTCCCCTTTACACACTGCTGTTTGGTTCCTACCATGCTACTTAAGATCAGCTTTTAGCTTGTGCTACAGAGGAAAAAGAGGAGCAGTAGTACATAGCAGACCTTCATCTACCATTTGGCTGGCTCTATGTGTGCACACAGGAAGAGATTTCTTGCATGGGCCTTGCTGGAACAGGGAAAGGCTGATCCACCCCTAATAAGCTGACACATATTCTTCATGTTTCTGCTGGTTTGGATCTCGTTCTTCCCTAGTTGCTTGGTCCATTGTCTTTGCTGCCAAACAGTTTCTCTTTTGAAGGCTGGGAACGTGAAAGATTTTCTGTTAAATTTTCTGCCTATTTTAAACCTCTGTATCACTTGCAGATCTTTAAAATCAGCAGATAAGATTGAGATTTACTTCTTTGTGTATTAGCTGCGTTTTGGTGTAAGTGCTCTGTATCTGTGCCTGAATTTGTTTTGGTAGTGTAGTAGGTTCACCCTGGCTGGATTCCAGGCACCCACCAAAGCCCCCCCTCTGCCATTCCCCTCTACACCTGCACAGGGCAGAGAAAATATAGCAAAGGGTTCATGAGTTGTGATAAGGACTAGGAGAGATCACTCATCAAATACTATTACGGGCAAAACCAAACTCGAATTAGAAAAACCAATTGAATTTATTAGTAAAAAAATCAGAGCAGGATAATGAGAAGTAAAACAAGATCTTAAAAGAAAACACCTTCCCTCCTTCCCAGGTCTATTTCCTCTCTGCACCAGCACAGGGAGACAGGGAATAGGGGTTATGCTCAGTTCATCACACATTGTTCCTGCTGCTGCTTAGGGAGAGGAGTCCTGCTGCTGCTCCAGTGTGGGCTCCTTCCTACAAGAGACAGACTCATGCTGGAGAAGTCCATGGAGAACGATCTCACAGGCAACAGCTCCACAAAGTGACGTGGGTCACTGCCTGCACTCTTCCCTCATGGGGTGCAGTCCTTCAGGCACAGCCTGCTCCAGAAAGGGTCCTCCATGCAGTCACAAGTCTTGCCAGAAAACCTTTCCACAGGTCTGCAGGGGCCTGCCAGGAGCCTGTTCCAGTATGAGCCTCCCACAGGGTCACAGCCTCCTCGGGCATCCACCTGCTCTGGCATGGGTCTCCTCCATGTGATACACATGGATCTCTGCATCTCTCCATGGACTACAGAGAAAGCTCAGCTCTGGTGCCTGGAGCACCTCCTCCCCTTCCTTCTGCAATGACATTGGTGTCTCCAGAGTTGTTCCTCTCACATATTCTCACTCCACTCTTCTCTTGATGCAATTATATCTGCACAATAACACTTTTTTTTATTCTTTTTCTGAAATATGTTGTCACAAAGGTGTTACCATCACTTCTGATTGATTCACCCTTGGCCAGTGGCACATCCATCTTGGAGCCACCAGGAACTGGCTCTGCTGGACACAGGGAAAGCTTCTAGCATTTTCCACCCTTCCCACTACCAAATCCTTGCAATGCCAACTCAATACAGTTAGGACAGATGTTGATCATCTGGCCCTTGTTATCTCAATCCTGAGTGATCAAATCTATTAAAAGAGGTAAAAGTACATTAACTCTGTAAGCCTAGAGAGCATGTTGCTTGTTTGTGTTTCATGTATCTTGTTTGTTTTGTCATGGACTAATACAAGTGCAGAAGTAGTACTTGCAGAAGACGACTTGCACTGAGTATTAAACAAGGTGTAATAACTGACTGTAGGTAAAATTCAGAAGCAAATGAGACCATTTGGATTAGCATAAGCAAAATGCATTTGCAGTGTCCTAGCAACCTTCCGTGTGTCCTCCATAAAAGATTTTTTTTTAAGGAGCAGACTAAAACGAATTAATATTTCACCTATTTACAAGTTCTTCATTGAAATTCAGGCAAAAACAAGAGGGGATAACAAGGTTTTTGGTTTGAAAATCTGACAGATGGGCGAGGGAGACTCCTGGCAGTTACAAGTGAGCCTATTGATACTGAATAATACAATAAAGAGAACTGAAACAGATGCTGGAAAGAGATACCATTCTTAAAATAAATTTTTAAAAATTTGGATTTCACTTTTACTTTCCCAAGCCGTTATTACAAGGAAATAGAAAAGGAGCCAAGGATGTAACTAAGGAATCAAAGACTTGCAATAAATCCTTCTCTTTTGTTGTCCTTCTCTGTGGTCTTTTGTCATGGTAATTTTTCTTACTACCCTGCATCTGACAAAAGAATAAGTTCTGGATACAAAAGATGTATGTAAGTACTAATTATTTTGTTAGAACTTAATACAAATCAAGGTAATTAGATTTAAATAACCTCTTACCAGGAAGGTAGGTACAGAGTATGTATCAGCTGTGATATATGGTGCTCTGTGCTGCTTTTGAGCTCAGACAGAATATGATCTGTGAACAATAAATTTGTTTGTTCCTCATTGCAATTGTGGAGGGAAGCAAAAAAAAATCCTCAAACCCCCTAAACCTGTGCTTTCTTGTCTCAAACTTTAACTTTACAACATCACTGTACATCTCTAAATTACTGCATTTAAATTTAAAATCACATTTTGTTATTCTGCCAGTTCTTTAGGCAGAATGGGTACAAGCTAGAAAAAGAAACACTGTGTACATTCTAGGAAGCTTTTCTTGCTAGCAATTTCTTTTAGCACTTGTTCATCCGCTAGAAAGAAGTAAAAAAGTTAGACTTATTTGAAGAAGAGGTCCAAAGGAAGGCACCTTCTGTGCCTTGGTTTCTTGTGGTGGTTCTGTTGTGCACTGAAGTATTGCTTTAAAATTGCATATGCTTTAGCCCAAATGAAGAGAATAGTAACTCTAGGCCTCAGTCTCTTTTCTCTGTGATTAGGAAAATGGAGCATTTGGTCATATTAGAAATTTTGCAAAAGAAGCAAGAACGATGAGCTTAACTGTAGTTCTAATTTCTTCATACCTTGAGTTGTCCCACAAAAGTCTTTGAAGTACTATTTTGTAAATTCTGAAACCTTGTAAAAGGGTAACTGATTTTTTTAAATTTTCCAAGAACAGACAATTTCTTTATTATTGAACTAGAAGCAGTGTTTTAACATTGTAAATGTGTGTTACTTATAATACAGAAGGGTTAAAAAAAAAAAAAAAGCTGTGTTAACTTGAGGCTAATATTTGAGTCTATGAAAAGACTGCTGAAAATGGTCCTGAAGATTTTCTGTAATTTTTGCAGCACATTTGCCTTTTATAGGTCTTGTTATGATACATGATTGTTTGATTATGGAGGTTATGGGGTTTCTTTTGTTTGGTTGGGGTTTTTCTGTTTGGTTTGGGTTTTTTTGCAATTGATGCATCCATAGAAAAAGAAAAAAACATCCTCATGTTTTCCAAGAACCTCTGTCTGTAGTGTCTGTAATGACATTAAAAATAGGGTAGCTGAATAATGGTGGTGTTCAGCTGGCTTGGTGATTATTTTATGTGAAGTCTTTGGAATAATAGTAATGCAAGTATTTTTTCTTTGTGATTCTTTATAAAGTGGCTTAAAATAATTTCAGGGGCTTGTGGTTCCATTAGTTATAAAGTTTAGTGCCCTCATATTCTGTTGCTTTTTGTTGCATTGTTGGTGCAACTTGTGTGGTCACTTTGCACTAAGATAAAGAAAGAGGATAATGAGATGCTGTTAAAGCAGAGTGGATACCTGTGGGCTCTGCTTTACACAGGGTGGTGTAACAGTACATTTTTCCAGCTACAGAGGAATATGTCTTACATCTCAGCATGCTTGAGTTACATCTCAAGGTGTTTTTAGAGTTCTTGGGTATGGACTCCATTGCCACTGAAACAGGGCAGAAAAAAGTAGTTTAGTAATGATGGGGGAGGGAGTCTGTGGGGGTCTGTATGCATTCTGGAACTGGGCATGTCATTACTGATCAAAAATATGTTTTTTCAATAGTGACTTAAAAAAAATTGTGCATAGAGCTTCTACTCCTAACACATTTACATGAAGGGTATATCCAGCCTATGTGTGTATCTGGATTTACAAAAAAAAAAGTCCTCTAAGCAGTTCAAGAAAAAGATGCTATTACTGGCTTGCTGAGAGAGGATTAATTAGGAAATGTCTTCCCTTATCTGGATTTCTAGAAGTTACAGTGGTTCACTTCCTCTTAGGAGAGCATTATATAGAATGACACTTGGCACTATATTAAATAATTACGTATTTCTTCTCTGGGGCTTGGTTCTTTGGTTAAAATTGAAGTTATTTGCTAGAGAACTGTTCAGTTGTCAGATGAAGGGATCAGCCTGAAATAACCCATAATAGGGTATGGTATGTTTGAATAATGAAAAGCCAGGGAAAATATTGAAATCTGGGGGATCTCCAGGAAAATCTTTTTTTGCATAAATACTAGCTTTACTCTGCATACCTTTTATTCCCCCTTTTCTCCAGTACTGATACTCGAAAAGGTGGAAAATGGAGATCTGAGCAACAAGATGTTGAAGATCACGGATTTCGGCTTGGCCAGGGAATGGCATAAAACCACCAAAATGAGCGCGGCTGGGACATATGCCTGGATGGCTCCTGAGGTCATCCGCTCTTCCATGTTCTCCAAAGGCAGCGATGTTTGGAGGTATTGATTTGGCATTCAGTGATTGGATACTAAAGAGTAACTAGACCTGCCAGGAAGTCTCTTTTATGTGTAAGAATGAATAATGGTGAACCAAATATTAAAAAAATCAGGTCTTAAAAACTTTATCCATCAGCTTTCCATCTGTCAGACTTATCTCGCACTTATTGTTACTGTAGAAAATAAGTGGTGGACCAGCTACTGTATGCCTCTAAATTTTTGTTTTTCTGTAAGTTTTGATTCAGATTATTTCAGATTTATAATCCAAGTCCCCTCTGCTTTGTCTAAACCAAATTATTTGTGCTTATTTGGCTATTGACTGACATAATCAAAGGTCATAATACCATCTGAGAAGTACTTTATTTTCTTACTGTTCTACGTACAAGATAATTTTGAAATACTTTGTTTTGGTAGTAATCTGTCTCACTAATGTATGTGTACACAAACACACTGTCCTTGATTGAATTCCCTCTTGCTGTTTCAATCTGAATACTGTTTTTCCCTTTAATAATAATTTTATTAATGATTTCCGTCCTTCTAGTCTTTCACATAGGATAATAGATCTCTTATCTGGGTCCATATGAGTATGTAATCCATAAATAGTAACTTGCATGTATATATTGTCTTTTTCATTCATGCACTGGAATTTTTGTGAATGAGCTAATCTGGTGGGGAGAAGTATAAGAGTTGACCCGTATACTTCCAGAAATTGAGTTTTAATTTTGGATTGGTAAATACAGAATTCAGTCAATAGCTCCAGGACAGTGACTCTTCTGGATGCTGGATAACTTAGAATAAGTACTGAACATCTGAAACAGATAAAATAGAGAGAATTTCATTTTTCTTGTGGAGAAAAAGGTGTTGTAATGTCAGGATCTTTGTCTTCATAGCAGTAAGATTCTGTCGCTGGCCACTAATGCTCCTCCACAAATGACTGCATGCTGTAAAACCTGTCAGGATAAAGAAATAGTCCAGCTGACAGACTTGTCTGACTGTTGTAGCAGCTAATTGGTGTGGGGATTTTCATTTTCCTTGTCCAGTTTTGCTGAATAGATAATGTTTTGCATTGTATTTTGCACTCTAATAGTGTGGATAAAATTCGGACTGTGTAATTAAACGTGGTAGCTCTGTAGCTAATCTGAGACAAATTGAGCAAGAACCAGGCTTTTATTTGGAGTGAAATCTGGCAGAAATTAAAATCATAAGGCTGTGCGCTTTTTCTGTGCACGTGATGATGGTACTGGTTTGTACACAGCTTGTCAACCTCAAACATAAACTTGCTCTTCTCTGAAATAGTGCCAGGAGGGGTAACCTGAGGGAAAGGGAGAAGGGAAAGTGGGAACAGTTTTCTTGTAATTGTAACTTTACTAATTCAGGCATGCTATGAACAGATCAATAGATGTTCTGTACCAGTATGAATTAATTTTAAAAAAGTTAAGAATTATTCAGTCAGTTAGTGATTTTCATTAAGGTAGCACAAGTGCTTGTGCAAAAGTACCAGTTTGGTCACTGATTTAAGTACTGTGAATCACTTCACAATGATTAAGAGCTGAAATTATTTGTTCGTTTTTCAGAATACTTTATTTCTACTTTTAGGATTCCTTCATCACTTTCTCTTGTTAGTTTCCACTCTTCCCTTGAAAACAGGAATTCTCCCTTAAACAGAGAATCACCACCTTTAAGAGAACTTATATACTGTCTCTGAATAAGCCTTTTCTTTCTGGTGGCTAAAACCTCTATCATAGTTAAACAAGCTGTCAAGACCATGTATGCAGAGGACAAATGCTTGCCAGTGCAATCACTACTAGTGTGTCCATGATTGTAAGCCCTAGATTTTACAAAAGCAGTCATGCACTTGTGTAATAAATCCTGTCCCCACCCGAGGATGCAACCTGAAATTCTTAACGGGATGAACTTTTTTATCCTATTAGACTTGCCCCTCCTCTTGTCCAGTCAACCAGTTGGCTAATCACTGGAGACATGGGGGTTTTTTTGGCCTGACAACCTTCCAGTTAGTCTATGCAGCATCAACAGAATTGTCTCTAATGTTCACAAACCCTTTTATTTCAACACCTTTTCTTTAAAGCTTATTAGAATAATACTGCTGGCTGAACTGTTGCCCAGCCTTTGAAGAAGAATCTTGTTCTGCTTGGTGTTCTCACTGCACAAAGAGGTGAAGAAGATCCTGAAGATGCATGCTAAGACTGAAATTTCCTGGGTCAGTCTTATCATAACTAATTGCTTCATCTTTTCAAAACATGTTTCAAACTCCATCTAAAAAGCTCTATCTTTTTACTCTAGATAGGGTTGGCAAAGAACTTAAAAAGAGTGAGGAATGGCCACACATGGTATCTATCACCAGGGTCTGGGGCTCTGTGAAGCTTGTTCATAGTACCAGTACTTAGTAAATCTTGCTAGTGAAAACTTGTTGCTCTGGATTTTGCTGTGCTGTACCTGCATGCTCTATAGATACACAATAGAAGCCTTGTGCTTATATTGCACAGAGGACGATGAAACTACATTTTTATTTAAGTAAGTCCATTCCTGTAAATCTGTTTGTGCTTGTATTTGCTTTGGATTTACAGGGGTGAAGTGGGAGCATGAATATTGCAGCTCATCCAGTACTGTATACTAATGTTAGTAGGCATATAAACAAAATTTTCCTGTCATTTGGCTGTTTAAACAATTTCTTTTTTGCTGCACACTTCATTTTTTTACTTGTGCTGCTGAAATGATAGTCATATTATCAGTACTGCTGGTATGTGGAATATAAAGGCATCATAAAGGGTCATCTCTGGAGCTGTCAGTTCATTGCCAGCTGTTAATAGCTGTAAATAATAATGTAATGAAATTTGGGGTTTTTTTTCTTAACAAAAGCCATGTTCCACTTTCTTTTGGAACTGGGATCTCTTTGTTGGATTTCTAATTCATTCCTCATGGGAAGTGTTGAACCTGAGGAAATGGACAAGAGAAGCCTGTGGTACAAATGCCATGGAACAGTACCAGTGAGAAAAAATTACTTGTTTTTTAAAAGTTCATAGACTAACAAGGGAGGTGGCAAAATCACATGTGAAATCCTGCAGGCCTCCAGCCTCCCTTGCCCTGAAAATCCAGTGAGTAGGATTGAACCTGATGTTAAATGGCTTAAAGGATTACTGGATCACTGAAAGATGGTTAATTATTCACACAAGTGTCAGTTGACTTGGATGCATGGGTTGTGTCACATGGTTCATTTCGTAATTAAAATCCAAAAATTACTATTAGGTCCTGGAAAAATAAATGAGCTTGATCACTTTCTCTTTCCTCCTGCTGAGAATGAACAGAGGCCCTTGTTTCTTTCTTTCTATGCCTTTTTTTGTGCAAGTCTTCTGATCTGGCTTTTTCCTTTGTGCTTCCCAGTCTTCTGCTTGAGAGTTAATAGGAGAACACTCTGTTCAGCACCTCTCTTGGTGTTTATTCACTTGAGATTATTGTTCAAGTGCCACAAAGCAGTATTCCCCAGTTCTGTGGAAGCAGTATTCTCAGTAATGAACTGTAAGTATAGTGACATTGGCTTTTGTCAGAAGCAAAGTGACCTTTCCTGCAATATACACTTCTAGTGTCACATTAGAAGAAACACCAATCTGTCTATTCCTTTTTCCTTTCAGAATTACCCTGCAGAAGAAGTGCTTTGAGCACATCAGTAGTGCTTTATCCAATACTAGTGTTAAAGTAATAATACAGCACTTTGGTAGATTTTGCTACCTTTTACTATCAATAGTCATATCCAAACTGAAAAGTAACATGAATGATCAATCAGATCTAGACAGTCCAAATATACATTCAGTTCAATTTTCATTTTCTTTGAGTGTTTTATAAATCCTAAAAGACCAGAAAGAAAATGGGAACTCCTTGGACTCTAGTTTATTTCAAATAATGTTCTTGAGACAGTAAGAAATAATAAATTATCAAGAGTATGAATTACATTGGAAAATAGCAAAAGATCACCTAAGTCAAAAAATATTAGATTCTGCTTAATAAAGTAAAATAGTTGTGTTAGCTGCAAATGTTGGATCTTTAGTGACTAAAATCCTTTACCTAAGTGGGAAAATCCTTTATCTAAGTAGGAAAACTACTGTTAAGGGTGTCCAACTAAGGTAGCAGCAGTTACAGTGAATGTTAAAGGTGTGATGGCGTGGAAGGGAGATGGCAAGAGCACAGTTTGTGATAATGTACTTCCAAATGGATAGGGAAACTGTTGCTTTGGAACAAGAAAACTTAATATTTTAGCTTCAGACTCTTCATGGAGCAGCTATTTAAGGAGCTTGTAGGAAGAGAAGCAGTTTTTCACTTGGTCTTCAGGTGTGCTTAGGAGGACTTCAAGGCTGTACAGTATGAAATGGTCCAAATATATGTGTACTTAGATTTTATATCTTTGCAAGCACAATTAAGAAAAATTAATCTATTACAGTAGTGTTTAACGTCAAGATTATTGACAACATTGGGAATTTTGTGTGAAAACAACAAAATGGGAAGATGGAACATGGATATCTTTTAAGGACACTGTTAAAGCTCTGAGTGAATGTATGGGAAATCCTTTAAAAGAATGAAGAAGACAGTGTAAAAAAGCCTTCTGAAAGACATTTTTTTAAAAGCTCAGTCTGTATCCAAATGAGGAAAATTATGCATTGACTTGAGCTCTGTCAAGCTGAACATGAAACAAAGAAGATAAAAGGGTTTTGAGGAGAGTCTTCTTGAAGCATAAAACCAAATCCCTTCCTTTCAAACCCAGCACAGGTGAGAACCCTGCAGGAAAACGCAACAGCCCAGAGGGGAGCAAAATGTGGGAGTGCAAAGAAAATAAGGCTATACCAGAAAAAAAACTCAGTGACTGTTGTCTGCCAGAATAGAGCAAAGAAGCATTTTAAGCTGAATTTTTTTCTTTAAGGGAGTCAAGCTTGGAGAACATATCTTACTGAAGTAAAATTCACAGAGGTGTTAAAACTGACTGATAAAATGAGCAGTAACAATTCCCAAGATTTACAGTAACACCCAAGATTTCTACAAGAACATGAGAGTCAACTGAGTTAATAGCTGTGCTGTGTAATCTGTTGCTTAGAGCTGGTGTAGTACCAGAGAAATGGAAGGCAGCAGACATGGTGGCAGGTCTTAAAAGAGCTTCCTGAGGATTAGCAAGTATGATCTTGAGTTCTTCTTAATGGTAGAAACAGCATTAAAGAGCAGGGAGCTGGTGGACATGTGAGCATATCTGGGGAAGAGTCAGCTTCTGTAGAAGAAAATGTAATACCTTGTGAAAAGTGAAAATGCTTAAGGAGATACTGAATCTGTGGTTAAGCAGTGAGATTGTTTATACTATATTTGGATTTATAAAGAGTTTAAGACTTCATCATAAGCTTTTAAATAAAGTAAATTGATGTGGGGAAAAAAAGGCAAGTCTTTTTCCCCTCATTTAATAAATTCTTAATTACTAAAGGAATAAATCTGTTTTCTTGGTAGGGTATTCTGTGTTCAACACAATCATAAGTGATTTGGAAAAACCAGTAAATTATTAGGTAGCATGGTTGATGATACCAAGTTATTCAGGATAAGAAAAATTCATCTACTGCAGAGAGATGAGGAAACGTTTTACTATAATGAATGATAAAATGGATGGAATGGTAATAAATACAAAGTAGCACCCATGGGAGAATTTAATATATACAATTTATGGGCTCTAAATTTTACTATTGTGATTCAGTAAAAACACATTGGAGTTACTATGGATAACAGCTCATTTTGTAAAGAGTGAGAAAGGCAACAGGCAAATGAAAACTTAGTAGGAAAGAAAGAAAACAAGCAACACCATTTCTGCCTGTCCCCATATCTTTAAAAGTGTGGTTTTACTTATTCCAACGGAAGATGTCAAGGTCATTGAAAGATATGAAATGGCTTCTGTTCAGGATAGTAACTAGATTAGGATTTAGCTAGATTAGGATTTGGGGGTCTGGAAAGATGGTGATTTAGGCAGGATGTATGGGAGCCTGTAAAATCATGGACAGCATGGAAGGAGCTAATAAGGAACATATGTTTACTCTTTCTGTATTGAAAGAGCTACAGGGAAGCCAATGAAATTACCAAGTGACAAGCTCAAAACACATACATGGAAATATTTTTTGGCAATTCATCATTAAATTTGTGGAGTTCACTACCACAGAATATAACGGGTGGTAAATGAGTTCAGAAGAGAGTAAGAGATCAATGGAAGAAAAAACTGTCAGGTCATCAAGTATGAAGAAGCAGTTTCTGTTTCAGGTTTTCTAGAAGCAGAAAAAATACTCCGAGGTTATGTTTTTCATCATATACTTTGAGGGAGAACAGTCCTGGAACTATTTCCATAACTTCATTGGTAGTATTTTGTAGAACATCTTAAGATGACAACTTAATTCTGAAGAAGTATTTTTTTACTTATTTTTAAAAATCACAAGCCTTCTTCATATTTTTGGGTGTTTTGAGAGGTTTTGGTTTGAAATTAAATTCGAAGATTTTTGGTTTTCAGATTGTTCCCAGTTTCAGAGAGAAAATTATTTATGCCTAAAAGGTGAAAATGTCATCTTATTTCAGTCTTGTTAAAAAAAGCAGATAAAATAGGGCAGATCACCAGCTTGGCATTCATTATAAGCTTGTCCTGCAAACTGACATTTCTTAAGTATACCAAACTCCCAAGTTCAGGTACCTTGTTGCTTAACAGAGACTGTGTTAAAGTCAAACACCTATTCTCTTTTTTGTTTCCTTCCCTATAGTTATGGTGTGCTGCTTTGGGAACTGCTAACAGGAGAAGTGCCATTCAGAGGAATTGATGGTCTTGCAGTAGCATATGGTGTTGCTATGAATAAGCTTGCCCTTCCAATCCCTTCCACGTGTCCTGAGCCTTTTGCCAAACTCATGGAAGGTAAGCCAGCTGTGGTGTGAGTGTGGTTGGTGCTGCTTCTGGTGTGCTGGTGAGCATGGCCTCTTTGTGTTGGTTTTGTTACCTAAGAGCACAGATTTCTCCAGTGGCTTTATTCAGTGGTGCAGGTTATTGTGGGAGCCAGGCCTGGCTGTTAGTGTGCTGTGACAGTCAGTCTACTAACAGAATAATGAAAAAGATTTTTTCATCAACTGGCTTTATAGGAAAAGGGAGGCTATTGCTATCATCATTTAGCTTGTTTTCTAGTAGTGAGGACTCACCAACACCAGAACTTCACATATTTTGGTCTTGTTTGAAGTCTTTACTTGTTTTAAAATTCATAGCTTGAACATCTTGCTAGTAGTGTCAGATTGGTTTGAAATGAAACTTTATCCTACTGACAGTTCAGGGAGATGGTTAAAATGTAGTTTTGACATTCCAAAACAACCCATCTTTTCAGTCAGAATTATGTGACTTTCTGCTTTGTCTGTGGAGGTGTTTCATGCCCAAGATGGGTTACAGAGAGGTGAAAGACATACAGGAGTTAGTCATCAGAGCTGCTGTAGTTATTAAAAAAGATTGTGTGAGGTGGTTTTCAGGTATACTTATGTACACTTATGACCTGGTCTGCTGGCCATTGAAACTACTTTCATGTCTCCTGAACTTCAGTTGTTCCTCCCTCCCTTTCTCCCTCCCTCTCTCTCTCTTCCTTACCTCCAGTATTTTTATCAGTGTGCCTATTCACAAGGATTGCTAGGTGTTTTTGTGTAATAAATTTTTTTAGACCTATCTGACAGAAAGGAAAACAAAGATAAGAGAAATCAAACTTGGTTTATAGTCTCGGTGAGCAAAGAAACGGTCTCAATATGGAACTGATACTCTCTGGCCTCTGGTGGTGCTTTAGCCTCAGAAAAGGAATATAAATCATGAAGCAAATGTTTCTGATGGATTTTTTTTTTTCTGATTTTGGCATACCTTTGCTGTTCTCTGGTCTTTTCTTTAGGTTACAGGCTTCAGCTGATTTAAAGTAAAAAAATTCATGTGTGTTTTGTTAAAAAAGAAATATCCTACTGGGCAGTAAACAATAGAGTTGCAGGTAGAGTAGCTTGAAGGCATTATAAAGTGAGAAACTGCATCTGAAAGAGTTGATGGAACTACCAGCTCAGTTGTGCCAGTTGGTTTATTTTGACATGCTTTCCTGGATTTCTTAACTGTAAGTGAGGATTTAAAAATTATGCCCTCTATTGGGAAAGTGAGGTAGAGGCACATGGCCAGTGCCTGAACCCAGCAGCACGGGGGTGAGCACCCACGTGGCTTTGGAACACTTGGCTTCCCCGTGTGCAGGGCGAAGACCAGAACAAAAAAAACCCAATTCCTTTCTGCCCCTTCACCAAAGCTGTTTTTCAAACAGGTTGTTTCCCCATCTCGGGTGAACTCTTCTTCCTCTAATGCTGCTTTTACTTTTGAATTACTGCCATGGTGGTCTTCACTGAGACAACAAAGCTGAACTTTCGCTCTTCACAGAAAAGAGTTATATGTTACAACTGTCCTCATTAGTGCAAATAATGGCTGATCTAGGCCTGGGAAAATAAAAGCCACGGGCCACCTGCTAGTTATCCTGTTCACTCATTCATGCATTTAGCTGGCTGCAGCATTTTGTTTTACTTTGGGTCATGTTTGCTTTGCCATGCTTAAAACCTGAGGTAAAGAGACAGGGATTATGGCACTGACAATCCAGCTGTAACACCCATTGCTATTAATTGGCCAGCAGCAGGAGATCATCAGAGCACTCTTTAACATCCTCAGCTCTCTGTTTTGATAAAAGAAGCAAATTAAAAGCTATAAACACAAATGCATTCCAGCATGGAACCTGTTGATACCCACAGTTTTGAAAACAGAACTCCCAAATGCAAAATCTCAGTAATGCTAAAATCAAAGGAAAGAACTGCAGAACCAAGCCTTGGCTGGTGCACAGATTTTGTGAAGTGATTTTTATTTTTAATTACAGCTGTCTTGATGTACTGCAGTCCACAAAACTGATGAATGAACATCTTTTGGGACATCACCTAATATTTTAAGAATGTTCCCTTTTTTCTGATTTCAAGGTCTAGAAAACTTTTAGAACATTTTTATAACTCTTGTCTTGTGCTGCAGTAATGTGTGTCTTAAGTCCAGTGACCATGTGAGCAATGCTGTATGATGAGAAAGACCCACGTGTTAGTTACTTCCATTCATGCAGAAAAACTGTATTCCTTACAAATACATGTGAATGTTAAGTTTTTCTGTTTGGTTGCTCTGAAATTTTGGCATGCAGGCATCTAGCAGTACGAAAGAGAATAAGGACGCTTGCTGAACAAGAAGCTGTGTAAGTGCTGGTACAAGATAAATCAGAATGAGAAAGTGATTTTTTTTTTTTTTTTCCTTCCAGAGTAGAAATGAGGGGAAAGGAAGAGAGGATTGAATGAGTGCAAATTTCCTATTCAAAAGTTTTGATGTAATGGTTTGGGGGATTGTTTGTAGCTTGAGGGGCTGCTTTATGCTATTTTCTGTTTCTGTTTTCTATGTTCAATTCCCTGTATTGAACTGTAAAACATTACCTTTTGTACTGTTGCTCACCGAGTTGCCATATGTGGTAAGATGGCTACCTTCAGTTCTGTGTTTTTAGAGCTCTGTAATTGGCTGAATAATTGCATTAGGTTGTAAATGAAAAAAAAAACTTGTATATCTGTGGTTTCTCCTAAAAGCAAAAGAAAAATGTCTGATTAATTTTCTCTCAAATAATAAAAAAGGACCTGTGAAAATAGGAGAACTCCAAATGCATGATTTGATGTCATTGTTTATTTGAATCTCCTATTGTCACACAAGTTAGGCCCAGTTTGCTTTGCAGAAGAGGTTTTCCTTTCTGAAAAGAAGATTGATAATGACTCAGCTTAGTATTAGAGTTTGGCATCAGGAAAAGCCCTGATAGATATCCTCCTGCAGTATGGCTATTAACTCTGCAATGTAACTACTATTAAAGAAGTATTTGCAAGAGCCTTGCATGATATTTCTACTCTGTGAGCACATACATGCATCTTAAAATATTTAACGGAATTATTTGCTATTTTTTTAAAATGCTTTAACGTGGAACCTTCTGTAAAATTAATAAATCTGTATTTTACTTAATATATTATTGTAATAGAAACTAGAGACATAGGTAGTTAGGTAGTTCAGGATTTTAAGTGCTACTGGATATTGTACAAGCATGAATTCCATACTTGACAATCCTGAGTGCAAGTGGGCAGTGGGAAAGCTGGGGTAACACAGGTGGTGTGTTTGCCACTCTTAGCCACTGGGGATCAGTAAAGCACTACCCGTCCTCTCAGACCTCCATGCTTAGAGACGCCTGACAGTTGTTTGTCTTTATTCTGTTCTAGATTGCTGGAACCCTGACCCACACTCACGACCTTCCTTTGCCACAATCCTAGACCATCTTACTGCCATAGAAGAGTCTGGTTTTTTTGAAATGCCCAAAGATTCCTTCCACTCCCTGCAGGAAGACTGGAAACAAGAGATCCAAGAGATGTTTGATCAGCTCAGAGCCAAAGAAAAGGTAAGTAGAGAGCAATGCTCCCTGCTTGTGCTCTCTGGATTGTCATTTCCCCATTTCATAGTTCAATCGGGGATCACTGTTTTGTGCATCCCAGAGCTAATTTTGCCTGTGCTTTACTGGAGCTTGTATTAAGTCCCTGAATAAATGGCAGGTTATGATGCACACAAGGGTAGACTCATGAGAAAAATAAATATCCACATGCTGAGCTGCTACTCTTTCTAATATTGTAGTGAGCTTCCATTATATTCTGTGCTAATTGCTGTGATGAGTTGTTTATTGCATTTGATAACTGTTTCACTATTAGCACCTTAATTGAGAAACCCAATGAAAACTATTAACAGGAGATGTAGAAGGGGTAGTTTCAGCATATATATACTCTAGTTAACCTTGCAGCTTTGGTTCTGCTGGGTTGTTTTCAAGGTTTTGAGCACAACCAAAATGCATAGACTATAATAAATATGAATGCTACCAGGGGAAAGGGTCCAGTAACTGCTGTAACTGAAGTCCATTGGGGCAAATAGCAGGAAGCAAAAATGCTAGCAGGAATAACAGGAATGGTGACCATGAGCTTTAAAGAGGAGATGTAAAAAAGCTGAAGTTTTCCTCAAGCATGCTTGCGGTAAGCACAGCTTGCTGCATCTAATTTAAGGTCCTTACAGGGACTGTCTTTAGTGGTTGGTAAGAAAAACTGCAGCAGAACCAAAATCACTACATTTGGAAGTTCGTAGTCTATTGCCTGAAAGTAAATTCATAATAAGCAGCTGTTTGATTTGTCCTCAGAGGTTGCATTTAAGAGGCAGAGAGAAAGAAAAGAAGACCTTGGGTCAAAGGAAAGAAATCAACTTCTACAAGAATACTTAGAACATTTCTATTCACCTATTTTAGTAGCTTTTGGGAAAAATAAATTGCTACTGTTGTCCCATGGGGTAACTGTTGGAACAGTTTCTGAAAACCAGAAACTTCAAAAGACAAACAGCTAAACAGTACGAACTACACTGCCCTCAGGCTGAGTACTGTATTCCTTTTTAGCAATGGGGAAATAATTTTATATGCTGTTCACTTATTGAGTAAAATGTATCAAATCTCCCTGGTGATGAGCCAGGTAACAATGCCGTTATTTAAAACATCTAAACTAAAATCTGTCTGATTATCTACCTGATGTTTAACTTGAATTTTCATTTTTTGCCTTCTGCACTGGAATTGGCCATATGGAGAGAATTATTCTAAGTGCTGAATTCTTTTGTCCTTGTGGTGAGAGGAGAGGAGCGCAGTGGGATTTGGAGATTTCAAGGACAGTTTCAGTTAATTTGTTTTGTCATCAAGGGATAGATTGAACGATTTGCCTTATGTGCTTTTGCTAGGACCATGTAGAGATGGCTTTTGAATATCCCCAAAGAGGGAGACTCCACAACCTCTCTGGGCAATCTGTGCTAGTGCTCGGTAATGCAGTAAAAAAATGTTCAAAGAGTGTCCCCTGTATTTCAGTGTGTGTCTGTTGCCTCTTGTTCTGTCACTGGGCACTGCTGAAGAAAGCCTGGCTTTATCTTTTTTCCACCCTTCCCTCAAGTTTTTATACATACTGGTAAATCTCCCTTCACTCCTCCCAGACCTTCTCTGTGCTAGGATGAACAGTTCCATCTCTTTCAGGAGAGATGATCTAGTCTCTTAATCACCTTCATGGTTCTTCATTGAACTCACTCCAATATGTCGATGTCTGTCTTGTACTGAAGAGCCCAGAATTTGACGCAGGATTTCAGGTGTGGCCTCACAAGTGGTTATGTCTGAATTTTAATGCTGGTATGAGGGGCCTTAAATGGCAAGCATTGAAGTCCTTGAGTATTGTTTTTGGCTCTCAGCTGAGCCTTTAACCAGAGATGTTTGCAGTTCTGTGAGCTCAGGCCATTGAAGCTGTGCCTTCAGAACAGGTAATGTTAGTCTTAACCCACAGGTCACAAGGTAACGTTTTGTTTCTGCTTTCTTACCCCCCTGCAGGAGCTGCGCACATGGGAAGAAGAGCTGAGTCGTGCTGCTGTTGAACAGAAGAACCATGAGGAGCTGCTACGAAGGCGGGAACAGGAACTGGCAGAACGTGAGATTGACATCCTGGAAAGGGAGCTCAACATCATCATCCACCAGCTGTGTCAGGAGAAGCCTCGAGTCAAGAAACGCATGGGGAAGTTCAAGAGGAGCCGGCTCAAGTTAAAGGATGGCAATCATATCAGCTTGCCTTCAGGTTAGTGATGTGTTAGGCTGTGCCGTGTGAAATGGGACCAACCTGTAGGTTTGATAGTTCCTTACTACTGACCCTTATGCATTAGAAAGAATTTGATGTACTTCAGGAAAAGCATGCCTCTTTGGGATCAATAAACTAAATTTACTGCTTTTGTGACCAGCATTGCCCCAAGTTCCAAGATTAAGGCCAGAGGTGAATTCGAAATGTAACATGTTTGTTAGCCATTGGCTGTATATGGCTTATTGTAAAGATGTGGTGTTGCAATTTAACATGTCAGTACTCAAAAGAATCAGTTTATTAAAGGCTGTACATAGAAGATGACAGAGGTTCCTGCTCGGGGAATATTTTACGTAATGCTGCAGGATGATCTGTAATCTACTGGATTATTTTAGGTGTCAGAATCTAAAAATTACCAAAAATACATTGATAGCTATGGGACTAGATTGCTAGTTCATGTGTGAACCTATTCACATGGAAGCGACTTCTGGAAGAAATGTTAAATATTAGTAAGGTGTTGGCAAAGTCACTCTTAAGAGTGAAGATGGTGATGTTCAGAGATACTGAATCCTTAGCATTTCTACTGCAGATCCTTTATGGAGATTTATATTTGTCAAAAAACCAAAAGCGTGGTGTTTGCAAATCACCTAGTGCTCATTGTTGCATCAGGGATGATGACTTGGACTATATTCTTTGTTTTCTGGGAGGCACTGGCTGTTCAGAACAGAAATTATTATAAAATGTGTATGTTACCTATGCCTTTCTTTAGGTCTGTAAACACCTATTTTTGGTGGTGCTTAAGAAACTGAGAGGTAAAGCACAAGGATTTATACAAGGATATAATTTGGCATGGCAGTCAACACTAGGTCTGTATGTGTATGTGTTTCACACATACACTAAGAAGATACATTTTCAGGGCTATGAGTGCACATCTTCGTTCCGAATTCTCAGTGTGTACAATGAGCAAATAGCAATTAGCTGTAAAATTTCATTTCTACATAGATTCCGTAAATTGTGCTCTTTAAAAGTTACCATAATTTTTTTTTCTTATATTAAAAAAAGAAAGAATTTTAACTGGGGCTTTCTGCTTTTACTTATTTTTTTCTTTTGCTAAACAGATTTTCAGCATAAATTCACTGTGCAGGCTTCTCCAACGATGGACAAAAGAAAAAGCTTGATCAGTAGCTGCTCCAGCCCTCCTGCAAGTCCTACCATTATTCCCAGACTCAGGGCCATACAGTGTAAGGAGCTCAATGTAGTATTGAATTTGGGAAATGTACAGTCTGTCAGCGTGGTAAGATGCCAAGATTCCATATCTAGGACAGGACTGTTAAGAAAGTACCTAAAATGTTTGCATTGTGCCTTGCATGTATGCATTTAGAGAGAAAAATGGTGATGGAGGGAGTATCACTGCTGTTTCTATAGAAAATACGTTCCCTAGGTGTACAAGTTAATTTTAAAAAATACTAATTTGCAGAGTAGACCTGTAAACATTGCTGTATTAAGTTATTGTTTTAAGGAAATAGGAACAAGGGCACATGTTTGTCATGCAAATAGTGTTCCCATAATAACACAGAATTAGGCAGACATGCATGTCTTAGAATTATGAAAGTCGTGTTAACTAATGTGCAGTGTTTGTATTGGATATCACAGCCCTCGTGTGTTTGGTTTCAAACCGGTAGTTCTAAAGAGAAACTGGTGATGGAATAAAGCTGGAGAGGAAGGGATTAGGGAGTGCTTAATTTGGCATTTGGTTGTTAGATTTGTGTTGCTAAATGGTCAGAATTATGGGAAAATCACTTTTGTTACTATTCCTGTTCTGGCCTATGTTCTATTCTTTATGTTGTAGTGGAACCAATTCTTTTAATTTGTGTATCTGTTTTTCCTTCCCATTTTCCACTGTTCTTTCCACTTGTGAAGTGACACCTGCTGAAAGCAGTAAAACGTGGGGACGAAGCTCAGTCCTTCCAAAGGAGGAAGGAGAGGAAGAAGAGAAGAGAGGCCAGAAGAAAAAGGGACGCACTTGGGGACCAAGCTCACTTTGTCACAAGGAGCTAGGTGCAGGAGAAGAGGGGTAAGAGAGGGCCTGGAGGAAAACTCTTTCCCAGGTTCTAAACCTGGTCATGAGCTGGCTCATGGGAGATTTGCCTATCTGCTTGCAAACACCTTTCTGCTTCCAAACTTCTTTCCTGTACCAGAGGTGTTAGAGATTCAGAACACTTACAAAATTGCATTCAGTTCATTTGCTAGCAACTGATGTTTCACTGTCTACTATTACATTGTTAGGTGTTTTTGTAACCTGTCAAACTTCTTAGCTGTGTGAAACTCTGTAATAGGTTTCTCTGTTTTAAGGCTTAGCTTTCTGTAGTTTCATATAATACCTGAAACTGCTTCTCTTAAAATTCTCAGATATGCTTTTTCTTGTCTTAAATGCTAGTATATAAAACGTATCTGATAAAGCCGAGCAAATACCTTCTCTTCAGTCCTTTGAAAAGGACATGTACCATGAGTGAAGCAATCCTGAAAGTGATTTTTGCAGAAATATAGAGGTTGTTTGTACCTCTGTTTCTATAGGTTATTGTTCTGTGGATTCTGTTTTATTTTCCTTTGTGTGTGTGTGAATCATTTATACCAGGACTCCAAGAAGTCATTACTGGAATGCTCCTTTAAACATAAGGCTGTTTTGACCTTCTAAAAGATTTGAATTCTTGGTAATGTTTAGTGGAGTTTGAGCATTTACCCCTCGATAAATTGGTGGTTTGATTATTGCCATAATTAATGGTATTACAGAATGGTATTGAGACACCAGGGATGTTGTCTTACAGTTGTAGGGAAGCATTTTGCAATTTGCTGAGCAAATAAACTTAGTCATCTCACCATTCCTAAAAAGAAGTGCCTTTGACTTCCCAGTAGAAAAAGGCAACAGAAAAGTGACTCAGTCATAATGCAACAAAGTAAGTAACAACCTTCTGGTTAGTTAATCTAAATAGATTACAGGTAAGAAGTCTTTAAGTTCCTGAGTTGTTATGCTGGTGATTGAAATACAGTTTTAGTGCTAGTGCTTTCAAATCATTCCAGTTGCTCTTTCCTTAGGACAATAGCAGACAATACTGCTCTAGTAGGAACATTCTTTAAGTCAGCATGTTTTGAATTGTTTTCATATGCACACCACTATCTAATTATAATGATGTGTGGCAACCTTCTGGACAGGTCTTTGAGGTCTGTTTGTAAATTGGGGGGAAAAGAGAGAGCAAAAAATAAAAGGGAAGGATGAAAATTTTATACCCTTAAGGCAAACATAGCAGGCCTTGAAATTATTCTGGTAGCTATTTATCTTCCTGTTCATATTTTTTACTTGCCATGGTAATATCGATTGCAAAAAGAAATCAAGATTTTAAAACATTATGCGTTGATGTAAAAAGAAAACGTTTCATCTGATTTTTGTAGTGGTGCCTTCTGTTATTCTGCATTTATAACTTGTTAGTTGTCAGCAGAGGCCTTTTAACTGCCACAGTGTAACAAACGAGGAAGGGACCTTTTTACTTGTTAAAAATTTTTTATTTTAAAGTGCTGTAAAGATGTCACAAAATTTCTTTCTGTGGCAGGACTTCAGATCTATGTAGTAGAGACTGACACATGGATACCCTAAGTAGATCAATAGAGAATACATAAGGGGAGAATGGAAACTGGTTGTGAGCATGGTACGTTTTCTCACATCCTTCTACTATTTTCAGTCTGAAAGCTCTGGTAGAAGGATGCAAGCAGTGGTCATCCAGTGCACCAAATCTTGGGAAGATCCAGAGAACTGCACCTGCTTTTCCAGGATTCACCAGCTTAGCAGAGATGGGTAAAGGAATTCCCTGAACTTGGTACTCTCATCCCCACTTCCATTCACGTTTCCATAAACCTCTTTCCTGACCTTCACCTGGTACCTTACAGCAATGTTTTCATTGTGTTTGGTATCTGTTTTTCTTTTATTCTTTGTCAAGTGTCCACTTTCTCCTTCTGGATTTTCTTGTTCACCTCACTACTTGTGCTTCTCCCTCTGTCAAGCTAACAAGCTTCTGTTAATTCTCCTCTAGCTTTATGCTAGTTTCTAAGCTCCTTTCCTGAATAATGATATTTACATGTGCAGCATGCTTGCTTACCCCTTCACTTGCAAGGAGCAATCCGTACAATTTTTCTACCTTTTGCTCCTCACTCACAAACACATAAATTTACTCTAGAAGTTACTGAGGTGTAGGTTGCCTTTGAAATGCAATTAATCCCAAGTGGATGAATGTTTCACTAATTTTTTTCACTTTGATAGTGTTTCCAGTTACTTTATCCAGCCTGTCTTCTTTGGAAACAATAGAATGTATTTGGGAGTTGATGAATGATGTTTGTGAGGAGAGCAGTTGCATCTTCTGAGGAGAAGCTTGTTTTGAACTATATTTGTGAGACAATGAAATTTGCCAGGGAAAATGTTACATTGACATAAAGTCTATTTTCATTTGCTTTCCAGATGATGAGGACAGTGAATGTTTTAATGGAGAGGGCAAAGTGCACCCTTCACCTGTGCACAATCAGTCATACCTCTGCATCCCATTTCAGAAGAATGAAGAGTGGGATGGCCCTTCTAGTGATGCCAACGAGGAGTCCACCCCTGTAAACTCTGCTACCAGTACCCCACAGCTGACACCCACCAACAGCCTCAAACGTAGCGGCTCCCACCACAAGCGATGTGAGATTGCATTGCTTGGCTGTGGAGCAGTGCTGGCTGCTGCAGGCCTGGGTTTTGATCTTTTGGAAGCAGGGAAGTGTCAGCTGCTGATTGAGGAAGAGCCAGAGGTGCCCAAGGAAGAGAAGAAGAAGCGTGACAGCATTTTTCAGCGAGCTGGACGCCCGCGCAGGAGCACCAGTCCTCCTTCCCGGAAGATCTTCAAGAAGGACGATCCCCTGTTGTTGCTAGGCGAGCCCTCCACATCCCTCACCCTTCTTTCCCTGTCTTCCATTTCCGAATGTAATTCCACACGGTCCCTGCTACGCTCAGACAGTGATGAGATTGTGGTTTATGAGATGCCTGTCAGCCCAGTGACAGTCAAGGCTCCCTTGCCAGCCATTACAAACCCACTGGTCAATGTCCAGATCGAGAGGTTCAAACAAGACCCCAACCAGTCCCTGACTCCCACACACGTGACGGTCTCTTCCCACACCCAGCAAAGCGGACACAGGCGCACACCTTCTGATGGAGCCATCAAAGGGAGTGGACTGGTTGTCAATGGGTGCCCAACCAGTGGATGCCCTTCCAGTAGCTGTTTAACTGGAGCACTGGGAGCAGGTAGGTTTTCAGCCATCTTCGTTTTCCCTCTTCAGGGTAAAGATAGAAGCAGTATAATTACTTGTTAGTTATACGTTCGTTGAGATGACCAGTCCAGCAAGAATTGCTTGTGGAGGCTATCTTAACACAAATTACTAACTGAATAATGCAGTAATGGTTTTGGTTCCAGCATCCTCAGATTGCCATAATCTTGAAGATACAGAATTTGTAGATACTGAATGGAGGCTTTCTGGTTTAAATATGTTTTTTGCACTGTATATACAATAAACTAAGATCTGTAGGTATCACTTAGCATTGACATCTAACATGTTTATCCCTCTTCTCTTGCATTGTCTGTTTTGGATAGGTGTATTAAAAACACCTAGTCCAAGCAGAGATCCCAGTGAGGTCCCTCGCCTGCCAGACCCCAACCTTGTTTTTCCTCCAACCCCGAGACGATGGAATGCACAGCAGGATCCCACACTGGAAAGACCCAAGACATTGGAGTTCCTGCCCCGGCCGCGTCCTGCAGCCAGTCGGCAGCGGCTTGATCCCTGGTGGTTTGTGTCACCCAGCAATGCCAAGGGTGAATCTTCTGCCAACAGTTCAAGTACTGATACTCCAAGCAATCTGGACTCTTGTTTTGCTAGTAGCAGCAGCACTGTAGAAGAGAGACCTGGACTGCCTGCACTGCTTCCTTTCCAGGTGGGTCCTCCTGCAGAGGAGCGGACACTGTTGGACATAGATGCTGAGGGGCAGAGCCAGGACAGCACCATTCCGCTATGCAGAAGTGAACTTAACACACACAAAGCTGCAGCATATGAACTCAAGCAAGAATTCTGGTCTTAATATGAAACCACTGGGGACAGTGGGCCCCTCTAAATTCAATCCTATTTTTTGCACTGAGAATGCACTTTGAAAACAGACAAGATGGAGGGATGCTACAGAGATCATATGGTGCTGCCTCTGCTGAAGATGTGTTATCAGCTGCCTGATTTTTGTCTGCATTTGGGTGAAATTTGGCAACTCTGAGCTGCTGACTTTTGCTGTGGGGTTTTTCTGTAGTCTTCCCTGCCCTCTTATTGCAGTTTGAATCTGCAATGAGCTAAAATTATCATATCAAAGTCTTTTGTTACTGACCTTGTAGGATTTGGCACTTGCAGTAAGTATATTGGTATCTATCCTGGTATTAATCAGTATTTTCAAATAACATTCAAATATTACACTACAGCAGACATCAGTGTTTGATGTTTTCCCAAGGAATCCAGAACAGAAACAAATAAATATCTGGAGACTACCTTCTCTGAAATACATGCAGATCATTAGACAGGCCTGGGAATCATCATACCCCCACTGAAAGAGCAGAAGTAGCTATCTTAAGACTTGTTTGTCCTCTTTTGCTCATGTGACAGCATAAGATGGAACAGATGGCAGGGGAAGGGCATGGCATCTCCACTGGTGGAGGTCTTTGAGAGCAGGTGAACCAGACTGTTTGAAACAAGTAGGTGTAGTTGATCCTGGCTTCTGGGTAGGTTGGATGAACTTCAGTGGTCTCTTGAGGTCCCTCTCAGTCCTATTTTTTTATGACCTTGTGCTTTCAAGATGAAGGCTTATGTTATAGCTGTTTAGCTTGTTTTTTTGTTTCAGACTTTCATTCCATCGGTCTCTTTTTTTCCCACCCTTTTTCTCAGGCTTATAGTCAAGTTGCCTCAGCTTTGGGAGGAGAGTTAGCAGAAACTTTTTTTTAAAGATGTGTTAGCTTGCAGAAGTAAGTTATGTGTTTCCAAATCTTTTTCTTTCCATTTTTATCTTCTTTCTTGCACTTTTTAGGAGTGACCCATGAAACCCAAGACTGTTCTTGCATACACTGGTACTGTTTAAGGCTGTTTTGAAAATGAGGCTTGTTAGCAGTTAGATTGTACAAACAGGAATCAGAACATTTGGATTCTGTTTTATTTTGTCACTGACTCACTGTGTGACCCTGGGCAAATAATATAACCTCTGTGCCTGAATTTCCCCATCTGTAAATAATAGGAATAATACCTACCTCACAAGGGGAGGGGTTGGGACATATAAATAGGTATAAAGTCCTTTGAGATCTTTGAGTGAAAGGCACTATAGATATGTAGAACTTTATTCTTGTTCAAATATGTAAAACACTCCTAGATCTGGAGCAAGAACAGACCCCGGTCTGGAAAGAGGAAGTCACACAAAATGGGGTGTGCCTATGCTCAGAGTTTTCTGTACAAAGACTTCAAGTGTGTCTGTGCCACTGCAGGTATGTCTTACTGGCTGTAATGAGAGCTTCAATCTTCCCCAGATTTGGCATTATATATAAGGGATGTGGCCTTTATATGAGTGTAATAGGGTAGTCTGCTTTATTGCAGGGTACAGCATGTCTGTTCACTGTTCTTGTACAAATCTGTGCTTGTTTTGCTAATCTGCTGATATTTGGTTGCAAATAAGTCATTTGACAGTGCTGCCAATGCAGTGCTCAGCCTGTTGGGGCAGTCCAGTCCTGCTGTGAAGGCAGTAGAGCTGAATACTTCCTGCAGCTGTCAGCACAGTGAACCTGTGTGTTTAGATGTTTGTAACTTGATTTTAAAAACCAGCATGTGTGGGGAAGAACTGTATGTAAGGCTTTTTAGTTCTGTGTGAGGACTGAAACCAGCATGTTCCCATTAGTCAAGTGCACCTTTTTTTTTCAAGCAATTACAGTATATTTTGTTTTGAAAGGTCACATATTTTTTGTTTATCACATTCCATGGAAAATGCTTAATGCAGAATAACTTTCTGCTGCCCTCCCTATTAAATGCTCCAGAGCTAGCCTTAATGGTGCTACACTAAATGTTGAAGCTGGAGAGACTGTTGACTGTTTAGACAAGGTATTATGATAAGGCAAGGTGGGATTCAGATTCTTAAAGAAAACTTACATTTCTGACTCTTTTGTTAAATTCAGGCCTTTAGCATTATTGATTTGGTAAGCATCCTTTTACTTTCTATTTCTGAAAACTTAATTTGTGACCCAGACACTGGCAAAAAGACAAAGCTTATCCAACAGATTTCTAATTTTGATTGTGCTATGAATCAACCTTAACGTAATCTCAGTAAGAGGCTGTGTCAGAGGGATTTAAAAGGACATTAAAATAATCTATTTTTCATATTCTTCTTTGTAATTTTAAAAAGTCTGGAACAAAACTGGATCAGCTGTTCTGAAATGTAATATTTTCTATCCAAAAGGTATCATTATAGATGTCATAGGGAGTATCATCTGCTCTGCAAAGGCATCACCTGGAATAGCTCCATTCAAACAGAAATCTTTAAAATCCGTTTACTTGCATGAAATGGGAGGCCACCTTTCTAGGTCACACTGATAGAACTCAGCCTGCTGAACTTTGTAATAGCTGGCCAGTTGATTTCATCAGGTGGACTTTTAAGATTTCTATCAAGTTCCCAGGAAAGACAAACATAAAGGCAAGTTGTTCTGTTGCCTCTTTTGCTTAAGAAAGATGAGGATGAAGAATTAACCCCTTCCCTGCCCCTGTCCCCTTTTTATAGAATCACTTGGTGAAGGTGGTATGTAGCTGAACTTTGAGAAGTACTTTGCTCCAAAGACTATCTTCCCTAATACCAAGTGGACATTGCTATATTAAATAACTTGGTAGGACTGATGACAAGAGTCAAGGATCCAAGTCAGGGTTACCAAACTAGATATTGTTATTACAAAGCTGCCAGACAGACTAGTTAGAAGCATATTGGTTGGTATGTGGTTTTTTTGTGGTTTTTGTTTGGGTTTTTTTTATAACCCTTCTTCAATGCAACTATCTTCATTGAATCTAGCATGTGAATTTACCTGAGGCAGTCTTTGAGCATCCACCCATAACTGTCTTCCAGTGGCCAACCTGAGATACGAGGCAAGAGGAGTCAGTTGTGAACACAAGGCTCCTGACTTCAGTAGGTGGTGGGGTATTCTCTGGCAGGCAGAGAGGGGGCTCTCCAGACAAAGAGTTTTCAGGTATTTTACCTTATGCACTCCAAAAGCTTTTTCTTCCAGTGTCCTAAGGCCCTGGGGCTGTGTGCATGTTTAAGCTAGGTCAAAGCTTCTCTCTATATCCATCTGTCCCATCCTGGCTTGAATTCTTTGCTTTCTTAATCTGTTGGAGTTTTTCCTTCCCAGCTGTGGGAGCTGAGGTGCTTCAAATCTCCAAAGGAGTGGTCGACTACAGTCCACTAGACAGTGAGAAAGTATGAGCCCGTCAGCTCAGAAATCTTTTTTTTTTCCTACTGGTTGCTAGTATTCCCATTTGTCAGGGAAACAAAATATCAGAATATTGGTCATTGACCTACCTTTCCAGTAGTATTCTTGAGGAAGATGGTGAAAATCTTACTTTAAAAAAATTCTAATAAATGCATTGTTTCCTAAATGTCTGAATAAGTTGCGCTTTTCTTTTTTCTGAGAAAATGAGAAAAAGATAACATGAAAGTCACTGAGTAGTCTAAAACAATGACGACAGAATGGAGAAAAATATGAATACAGGCCTTACAAAGAGGAAGTGGCAGTTTTTTAACTGATAGTAATAATGAGATTGTAGCTGAGAGAAATGTTTGTGGTTTAGAAATATATTTGTATTTTTGTTTAGCCAGCTGGCAGTGTGTATCACTAATTTATTTAATTGATGTGCTGATTTAGGAAATAAAAAGAAGTTTGTCAGCCCTTCAAAGTACGCTATCTTTGTAGCCTTAGTTTTTCTATAATATTGGAGGGAAGGCACAGACATAGCAACCAGTGCAAAAAATGACAAATTTTGGATAAATTTCTACTGGTTTCATAGAAATTGAGTGTGGGACAAGTAGAGAGAAGAAAGTTTTTGTGTCAAAACTAAAGTGATGAAATAGTTACAGATTCTTTTTTAGTACTTTTGCTTCTTACAGAGTGCAGAGTGGTCTGTTTTACCAGCAAGTAGGTATTAACCTCCTCTCAGTCATTTTCAGTTACAAAAATGTAACTTTTTATGCCTATTTCCCCTCCAATTTATTATTGCAATGGAGCAAGGAACCTCAGTGTTTTCTAACAGAATGAGTATTTTTAAAGTGAATTTTTTGTTATTGATGAGGAAAGATCTTTCTGGTTTGGCATGGTTTTATGATGAAATATTTTTCTGTACCTCTAGGAATGGGAGTAGTTGCCTTCCTCTTCATAGTGTGCTGTTAACTTAAGACATTGTGGACAATACTGCATAGAGATGTTACTTCTGTATGTCACAAATCTGGATACCTCTCATTCTGTTGAAGGTGAGGCAGTAATGGTTAAGTAAAGAAAAGTCTTTGCCGTTGGAGTGTTTTGTTAAATAAAACATGACAGGAAACCTCCGACCTTGAGTAGCCTTTCTATCTTGAGATTAATTTTTATTTGAAACCTAATTCATCTCTGTGGGATGAATATGGGACCTGGAGTCCCATTGGATATATGGAACCAAACCTATTCCCATGTCCCAAAATTCAGTGATAGCCTGTTATTTTTGCAAGTAATTTTAAGCTGATGTAAATAGGTTTGTTTCTTTTTTTTTTTTTTTTTTTTTTTTAAATTTTTCTCCTTGGAAAACATGCTTATTGCTTTCTAACCTTTTCCATGTATTTTGGGATACTGTCAAGAACTCTTACTAACTCAGTGGTGAATAAGAAGGATTGTATCTTGCAAAGTGATTTAAGTCCTCCTTTTGGCTTTGTTTTTTGTTGTTGTTGTTTTGTTTGTTTTTTGTTTGGTTTTTTTTTTTGTATGAAATAAGGGCATTTACATTTGGAAAGATTTCTGATCCTTATCCTGTCACTGAAGAACAGTTTCTTAGCTTCCATATTTAGGACTCATTTAAGACTACAGTTTGGGTAAAACTGGATATTAAAAGTGAGGGGATAGACATGTTAAAACATACTTGCAAACAAGCAATAAATACAGAAAATAAAAGATCCAAAATATACTCTCACTATCACAGAGCATAACTTTCAGACTTCATAAATCTTTGGTTGATGATCTAATTAAGGTATCTATAGGAAAGAATTCCTTCTTACATTTTTTCTTCAGTTTACTATTTTAATAATAGAATACAGTGGTTTTCACAGCCAGCTAATATGGTAGCTAGCTGGACAGAAAGGATCTTTAACCAAATTTGCTTTTTTTTGTCCTCTTATTTTCAATCCTGGTTTTGGTTTATATTTTATTTTTTTCTCTTTTTTTTGTATTTAACAAACAATACAGTCTTAAGAAGAACTTCTTGTTATTAACCTCACTTTCACAGTTTCAGGAGACATAATGGAAATAGATCTGTGGCTTATTCTGGTGCTCCCTCTATTGAATGCATTAGCAGAAAGTCATGCTGCAGTTAAAATGTACATTTGCCTTTGGCTTTTCCCATGCTTGGCTTTTAAAAACAGTTTTGCCACTGGTCAGAGGCAAACACAACTTCTGAAATTACCTACATCAACTTTATTTTTTTATGTTGGAAATAGTCACTCCCAGGCTAAGAGGTGTGTGCTTGATTAACAAATATCTTGCCTCTGGTGACTGGGTAGTGGGTCTGATGTAGCTACTGGAATTATTATTGTTCCTTTCTAACAAGTACCTCCCATTTTTTTTGCAACTAGAAAGTCTTCAGCACTTCATCAGCATTTGTATACAAGAAATACATTTTAGCTCATTTTCTACATAAGTGAAAAATCTTCCTTTTTCTGATCAGGAACATAATTTTCCTTCTGAGAATGGCTTCTTGAGCTCTGTGTGGTTTTTTGTTAGTTTTCTGTTTGGGGATATTGTTAATTTGGGGTTTGGTCTTTAAACCTCTCAAATATATATGTTAGGTGCATCCTGTATGCCGAGGTGCCTTCCATCTCACTTGTCTCCTTGCTGGGGCCTGAGGTTGGTTTTTTGGAGGGACCTCCTAGTTGTAGTTTTCAGTACTGTGTTCTCTGCACATCAGGCCAAATACCATCACAGGAAACATTTTGTGTCTTCCCATTTACACCCCTGTGTTGAGCCACATGCTATCACTGCCTCTCCCTATTTTTCCATTAGGGTTTTGACCCCATCCCATCTTTGTTGGTTATTTATTCTTGTTGCCATAGTAACAAGTGTAAGGCAGAAAACCATACACATTTCAGGTGTGGTTTGACCTAAAAGATTTCCAAGCTAAAAGCATAAGATACAACTGGGTGAAGTGGAAGTGGAGGTTGGCAAGAAATAACAGTGAAATGATCCTTCTTAATGTAAGTCAAAGGACAGAGGGGTACTAGCTACTTGGTAAACTGTTGGCATCGTAGGTAAGTAGGGTCCTAAAGAAGAATTTGAGAAATGTACAGTTACTTAATTTTATAGAATGGTTTGGGTTGGAAGGGACCTTAAAAGTCACATAGTTCCAGTCCCCCTGCTGTGGGCAGGGACATTTCCACTAGGTCAGGTTACTCAAAGCCCCATCCAACTTACCCAGATTCTGGTTGGTTTGTTTTGTTTTACCCTGAACTACCTCATTTGTAGAGATAGAATGGGCAGAAAGTCTTAAGTTTTGGTAAGAATTGCTCTAAGTATGCAGTTAAGGTTGGAATGAGATGGGAAGGCAGAGACAAACTTGTATTTGGCTCTTTGACATGCAAATTCCTGGTGGAAAAGTAAAACCAGCTATTCAGTTTATTAAGTTAAGATTATACTTGCTGTAGATTTTTGTGTCTCCAAAATAAACAATAAAGGACAAAACGGGGCATTTTCTTGATGGTTTCTAACCTGTAGAAGAGTTGATTGTCTAGAGACAAAAAGGTAGAGGTTTCATGTAGGTCACTGCTGCTTTTAAAAGTGATAGTCTCTTTTTTCAAAACAGATTTTTTAAAAAAATTGTCATGTGCTCTTAAAGTGGAGCTGTACACGATCCTGATTGTTTTCCTGTATTTGCAATATTGTTTTCCTAGTGTATCAGCTCCTAATACAGTCCTTACTGTATCTGAATGCTAATAATGTACAGGCAGTCCAATAGAATAGTATTAAGGAACTATGACAAATTTTTAGTGTGCAGTATAGTGGATTAATTAACCCAGCTTGAAGTGGGCTACTGTTAGGTCTGTAGCTGATGGGTCAGATGGATGTACAGCTAGAAAACTGGGGCTTAGAACAAATCTGCAGGA